ACACAGGCGCCCCTCAAAACAGTTTTTCTATCAACTCCCAGGAGAGAATAAAAGAAAATGGGTTCTCTGATGGGCTACTAGAACACTTTAATCTTTGTTTCAACAAGGAATGCTCCTCCCCAAATCAGCCTGTTAAGTTTGTTTCAAAGCTTGGTTTAAATACTGTTTTCTCCAGCCAACCTTTCCAGATCTTTCTAAAAGAATCAATCACTGTAACACTTTCAGAGAACATAGGACATTGCTGAGGCTCAAAAGTAGCATAATGTTTAGGTTTGACTTGCTTTGTTGTTACAAAGATGTTTGGTGGTGGTGGTGGTGGGGAATCCAGTGTTTCCCTCGTGGCCTCAGAAGTAAGCTAAGTCTATATAGACCAGCTTCAACAACAGTTCACTACTCCAATTTATGTACCTAGCTCTATTTCTTATTATCCCCCCAGCATGTTTCATCCTGAGCCAATCCCCATAGATCTTTCATCTAAATTGTCTTTTGTTTTGTTACTCATTCTAGTGTTCATCCCAAAGCTGTTGAATAATCTAGTAAATAAACACAGGATTAAGATTCAGAACACCAAGTAAAAAAAACCCCACTGTGACTAATACCCCTCTAAATATCACTTGCCCATTCACCCAATCTATGGGTTGCTGGAAAACCACATGAAATCACTGTATAAACATAGCATTCTATGAATTTAAATTACTGAACTGATTCCATATATATTAAGGTAGCCAGCTGGTTTGTGCAATGTGGAAAAAAAATTAGGAGAATAAAGGAAATCACTTAACTACACTTTGCTTTCTTGCCCGAATTTATCAGTTGTGTGGACTTCATACTTGAACCTTAGGAAATCATACACTCACAAATTCCCTCCTCTACCATGGATCCTAATATTCAGTAATACACATACACACACACACACACACACACACACACACACACACACTTTAAACTTGGGACACTAAGCAGTAAAATATGCTTGGCATACCAACTTCAACCATTATTTTGCCAATGTCCTCATCTCACCCACTTTTTCAGTCTTCAGTGGAAAGTAGTCCAAAAGCTTCCAGTTTTGAGAAAAGGAACATGACAAATCTATCCTGATTTCCTCACCTACAAAACTAGGTGATGTTTCATGGTAGCTATAACTTGTGAAAACTTCAATAAAACAGAAATGTAAAATGGGTAAGTACTATAGAACACATATCTGTCGATTGTTTCAACCTATTATATGAAGAATCATTTGGTCATTTTAACAAGTTTGAACTTTTAATATTCTTAGCTTTCAGAAAGGTGAAAACCAAAACTAACACGAAGTCATAATTAAAATATTACAACTGGGGGGTGGGAGGAAGGGTAAGTGGGTGATGGGTATTGAGGAGGGCACATGTTGCAATGAGCACTGGGTGTTATATGCAAGTAATGAATCGTTGAACACTCCATCAAAAACTAATGATGTAAGGTAAAATGTAAAAAAATCATTTCAACCTAAGGAGGTATCAAATAACCTCATTAGGCTCAAATTTTTCAGATATTCTTTTCAAATAGGATGTTTTGATACATGAAAAGTATGGTACCTAAATTATCAATAAACCTGTGGAATATATGGCAGAACAGAAGAATCTTACTGACTTACGAGGGAATTAGATAATTTGACCTTTTGTTTCCTACAGAGAAATCACTATGTCTAGCAGATTGGAGTCCAACACTTAAACTTGAAAATGGCAATACACTTTTGTTCTTCACTTCATCCTAAAAAGTGTGATTATATTCTCACCAAACCAAAATGTTAGAATACATTATAGGAAAAATAAACCCATATTTTCATAAGGATATTTTAATTTTTAAATTTTAATAATTCAAATAAAATTCAGCTAGTTAACATAAATAGAATAAATGCACATAATTTACAGCCATGTACACAAAATGTGAGAATAGCAAACCTCACATAAATGGTCAAAAGTTATCAACTCTTTTGAAGTTGATTATTTAGCTATGACTAATAGATCATAATTTAATTGTTCACATATGAGGGGTACACATTCAAGTGTTTATTAACAAAAAAACTGAGTGGAACTAGAATTTTCAGTTTCTAAAAGGAGTAGCATAAAAAGCAGTGTATAGATTAACAAGAAATATAAGTGCATGATGGAGAAGAGAACTGAGTGGGCAGAAAGTTAGCACATTGTATGAAATATTCTCATATAATTAAAATTCCTTCTAATTTGTATCATTCAGAAATACCTTTATTCTTAGGAATGTTTAAGTCATGATCAGTAGACAGAAAGGCTCAACTATTTTATTTATCAGCCCAAAAGGGCTCCCTACAGTACTAATAGTCTGGGCAGAAGAACATGTAAACAATGAAAGACAGGCATGAACAATGCTGAAGAGTAAAGGATAGACTGATTTCTAGCACTTAAATCCTTTAAGTTCAGATCAGTATTTTTAGTGACTTAAATCTAAAAATGCCAACATGTTTATACTCCAGTAAAAGAATAAAACACTCGTTATTTTTAACACCCTGGTCCTAATACAGTCATGCTATTCCACAATGGGCCTTAGGTTTTAGGAGACAAGGCTGGATCAAATAATCTAACCATATTCTATCCTGGTTTCAAAATTACAAATAAATTACTAGTGACCTCCAACTAGTAATGCTGGGTTCACAAAATTACATAAATAATGAAAATTAAGACAAAGCTTTGGTAATAGTTTTTTTTTTCTTTTTTTTCTTTCCCCCTCCTGAATTCAAAAGCACTGTATTCCACCCCACAGTCACAGGGTTGGTAATTCTCAGATCTGGACTTTGAGATTTAGTAAACTGTCTATGAGCCACCAGTACCAAAGTTCTATCTAATGCTCTCTGACCATACTCTTTCAATATCTACTGCTTTAACTTGAGTTAAGTTCAATTCAATTTCCTGATAAAATTCTGTAATAAAAGTACAGACAAATCTGAAGAGTGCTGCCAATCTCTATACTAGAAATAAAGTCATCTGATAGAAAATAGGTAACAAAACACAGCTTTAAAAAAAATTCAATGCTTTAAGTATGTGTTTTTCTTTTTAAACATTTACATCAATTAAAAAAAATCTCCAAAGAAATGTTTCAGAGACAAACTTTATATACAACTTTTATATATAGTTCTCTTTTTTAAATTATCTGTCACATAAAGTAAACTATGGCAGATTGTGCTTTGGGGAAAAAAAAAAACAAACCCTAAAATAAGCTTCATTGCTTCTTTCCAGTTGTTGCACAAGAAAACAAAATCTAAGACTCCAAGATCTTTTCTTCCAGTACACAGAGAATACTCACTTTTAAAATCTGAATATAATACACTAAGGTCAACGTAAGTTTTACTTGCTAAATACAAACAAGAAAAGAATACATGTTCATCCTTGAAGGACACTTATTATGAATGTGCTAGCACTAAATAATAAGATGTTCCATAGCTGCTGGTTTTCGTATCATTCTTAATCATCTGTGGTGTACTGAGATCATTACCATTAGGGAGAATCTGTCTTACATTCAACACAACTAATGTTTACAAATCTTTGCAAGGCAAATGGCACTGTATTAGGCAGTGTAAGTGGCACCTGAAAAGGCAAACACTATGAGACTTTCTCTACAGATTTAAGTTAGAAATCCCTAGATTTTTTTTTTTTTGGCATGTTTCTCACAATAAATGTCAAAGCTAAAATTCACCATAAAAGGTACGAATAATCCCAAAGGTAATGAAACTGAATTTGCCTTTGGTCTCCAAAGAGATTGGAATACTTTTTAATTCCAATCAAAGCACCTCAAAAACATCCAGTTATGTTGATTATAAGGAGTTAAGAAGGTGAAGGAATTTAAGAGGGCACTGTGTTTCACTGGTGATAGCAGAGAAAGCTTGCAATGACATGCTACAATTTTCTGTGTTAGGGTCATTAGAGTATACACAGAATACATAAAACATTTATATTATTAAAGATCTCCAAACACCGTATCTAAAACCCAGAAAAATGTTTTGAACATGGTTTCTGCCTAATACATGACCAATGTTAAAAAAAAAAAAAAAAGAAAAAAAAAAAGAAAAAAGTCTTAACATGGAATACTCTACTCTCACCCTTCTCCAAAAAAAAGGCCACAAAGTGCATTCACAAAGTCATTCTTAAAATAAAGCCATTGCACAAAATGTACAGTTCATCTATAACTGAAATGAGTACCACACTGGAGTTTAATTGTAGATGTTTTATACACCAGTATAGCAACATCCATAAGCAAAAGTCTCTTAACAGATTTATAGAAAACATCTTCAGAAGGGCCATACATATATACATTTAGATACTAAAAGGTACAGCTGAACTCAACAGCAAAATGTAAAAGTTATATCCTGTTAGGAAACTTAATCTGAATTAATTTGAGTCTTTCTATGATTTACCATTCAAGAAATCAGGATAACAGAAATTTCTTGTCAAAAGCAGTTTGTTCATTCACAAAACTCTGGTCAATTAGAATCACTACCTGCTCAATCAGACAGCAGAGGGTCCCTCTTCTATGTTTATACTGCCCTAGATATTTATAATGTCACCTTAAAAAAAGAAACCTAATAGGGCAAAGCTGAAAATTACCATTTTCTCTACAAAATAAATGCAATCTATATTGATCTTCTGGAAATAATTCAATGGTTCAAATTCCTAATGTGAAGGCAAACAGAAAGATTCAATAGCGGTGAATTTTTTCTACTTTAAGAAAATATCTAGGTATGACAGATGATAATTCAAGTTTGTAACTACTAAGTCACTGACAACCGAATTCATTCATGTATTGTAAAGTTAGAGAAGATATGAGGATGTGCTCAAGTTACTCAAAGGGCCAAGAATCAACATTTCACTGGTTTCTTCTGTCCCAAACTATTACACTGGGCTTGATACATTAATGAACAATTTAAGTGTCCACATCATGTTCAACATCAAGCACCTGTTAGCAGTGGAAACCGAAACATTTTAAAGCTAAAGATATGCAAGATCTTTTGACATTATTTCATTAGTTGTCAAAACTAGTGACTATTAATGCCAAATAATTAATTTTAAAATATTCCAGATCCTCTCAAGGAAATGGAAAAGTAATACTAAGAATCTCACTTGTTCTTGTTATTTTACAATTTTACATGAATTACACAGAAGCCAGAGGTAAGACATGACTGTCAATACTATCTTTGGATAGTTGTAATATTTATACAATCAGGGATGGCTTTGTTTAGAAGACTGGAAAAGTGCTCATGGAATACACACTGTACTCTGCCATAAATCAACAAAATGCAACTGTGTCCTGTGGACATGGTAGAGAAAATGGCAATTTGGAGAAAGGAGTGCTTCTAAAGGCTTTTTTCTTAGAGGCAGCCTAGGTTTTTTTTTCTTCATATTACTGAAAAAGACCAAGTAATGTGGTTATGATTACTTTAATTCCTACAACCAAACTTCCATTTAGGCATAGTTACATGTTCCCAAACGTTTTACTTCTGTCCACCATGCTGGCTTCGATACTGCATGGTCCACTGGAATCTTTTGGTCTTCCCTCTTCATAGTACAGCAGCTTAAAGTTGCTATCCATTGAGAAGGTAGACCACCAATTCATAGGTGGCCATCATAATGGCTGTGTTTGGAATCTGTCTCACCAGATGAGTTGTTAGACCACGGTAAAGAGACCCATAACCTTCTTCTTGAACAACCAAAGATAGTGTCTGAAAAAAAGATCTATATTTTGTTCCCTCTTCACGTAGTCTTGTTCTTACAACTTCTGTTTAGGGGGGAAAAAAAAGTCATTTTAAAACATTTGTGTTATCTTTTTTTTTTTTTTTAAAGATTATTTATTTATTTGACAGACGATCACAAGTGGGCCAAGAGGCAGGCAGCGGTGGGGGGGGGGGAGCAGGCTCCCTACTGAGCAGAGAGCCCGATGTGGGGCTCGATCCCAGGACCCTGGGATCATGACCTGAGCTGAAGGCAGAGGCTTTAACCCACTGAGCCACTTAGGTGCCCCCATTCGTGTTATCTTTATACCCTCTTAATGCTGAGCATATCCCATTTACCACTCTTCAAGTGTAAGCTCAGAATAAGTATGAGAGTGATTTTTAATGTGTAACTTATTGAAACTGGTCTTATTACAGTAACACCCAACTTCTAAGACAGCTGGTTAAAATCACTAATAACAAATACTAATTAAAAATTTAACAGGTTCCTGAATGGTTAAAGAATAAAACAAAAGTGTCAGCTGTATACTAGATATAGCTAAAAGGGACAATACATATATAAGGAAAAGGTCAAGAAACAGAAAAGGGAATGCAGGTGGTAGAAAAAAATGAATACACAAAGATACTGTGAGAAATAAATACAAAAACTCTTAGGTGAACCCCACAATGAGAAAAAAGAATTAATAATCTATATTTACAATGGTCCACATGAAACAAACATGAAATTTCATGTGCATGAGCCTAAAATTGTTCAAAACACCAGCTGTTAGCTAAAAGGCCCCATCTGGGAAGCAACTACGCAAAATTTGTAAAATTTTAGAGCTCTAAGAGATATAAAAGATTATGGTTAGTCCATTATTTCTTAGTTTTGAAAGGTGAGGAAATTGGACTGTTGAGAGGTTTTAGTCATTGGGGGTAGAGGCTGGGACAAGTTTTCAGAGCTCTCTACAGAAGAGTCTGTTTTTCCAACACACTAGTCCTGTTGGGCCTGAGGGAAATGGCCTAGAACTATTTTCACTGCAAATATTACTATTTGAAATTTCTTGTATCTTACCTTAAAAATTCATACCATTTATATATTCCACCCAAAATATTATTAATTACCCCTTCATGTAAGGACATCATCTCACTTGAGGGGACAGGATGCTTACAACTCCAAAACTGTCTCTTACAATTCTAGGTATCCTATAGTAGTCAGAATCTAAACAATGCTGCTGATAACTGTCCTCTTTTGACTTCTCCTAAAGAGGGAAGTTAGGAACTTCCCTCAAGAAGTGGAGCTAAGTTCACAGTCCAACTTGGTTAGAGTTAGTTTTACTCATAAAATTACATTTTATAGCAAATACTCATTTCTTCCTAGCCCTGTTTCATTTGTCTTGATACAGCTTTAATCACAGAGCCTTAGACTTACAAGGATGAATGTGAATATTAATCAGTGTAACAAAAAGTAAAGCATTTAGATTAAAAGCCCAAAGTAGGGGCGCCTGGATGGATCAGTCAGTGTAGCATCCAATTCTCGATCTCAAGTCCCATGCTGGGTGTAGAAATTACTTGAAAGAAAAAAAAAAAAAAAAAAAAATCCTAAAACCCCTGAGGTTTATTAGTCAGTCAGTTAAAAGCCTGCCTTCAGCTAAGGTTGTGACCCCAGGGTCCTGGGATTGAGTCCTACACCAGGGCTCCCTGCTCAATGCGAAGCCTGCTTCTCTGTCTGCTTACTGCTCCCCCTGCTTGTTCTCTGACAAATAAAATCTTAAAAAAAAAAAAAAAAAAAAAAAGGGCAAAACAAACCCTAAATACAACAAAATCAAAGTCTATACTTAAAACAAGTTACAAAAAAATCTCAGCATCCTGCAGACAAATTTTTAAGTGATTTTATTATCTATCAATGAAAGAGGCTAACAGTATAAGACTTAATGACAGAAATAAATCATTCATATATACTTATTTGCCAACATGAAATAATGTAAAATAGGCTGGCGTTTTGGATTATAGATTCCCATTTCAAATTTGGGCTTCTCCACTGAGTAAACTATGTGACCTGAGTAAGCTCTGTGACCTTTGGCAACTTAATCTTAACATTTCTTGTTTCCCATTTGAAAATGAAGACAAACTCTGGTTATATTCTAGCATACTTAGACTTAAATGGAGAAGGTAAGTACTTTGCAGGAATTTTTTGTAGATTAGCAATAATGTATATAAAGTATCTAGTATACCATCTATAGCCATACCTTTTTTTTTTTTTAAACTTGCTCAAACAACACCTGGCTGGAATCTGACTGACTCAGGGCTAAAATGTGACGGTCCAGAGTGCATGCTAAATCTCCATTATGCTACTGTAATATACACTGACCTATTAAACCAGTTACTTACACAGATTTAATCCCATTATGAACTCCTAAGAACTGTATTTTGTTTTACTGATTTCAGTAAAATTATAAATATTCTAATAAATGGGTCATTGGCTGACATGGGAAAATACTTGTAAATTAACAGAATTTTACTCATAGAAACTCCACTCCTCTTACCATGTGGATAGGCTATAGTTGTGGCACAAGTTTTTGAGGTGGCAGCAGCCAGCATCATTCCCACAAAATCGGACGCTTCTTTCACAGACTCTTCATCATTTTCCATTGTAGAAGCAATCTTATATTCCAGTAGTTTTTGCTTAATACTTTCATAAATAACAAAATGGATAACCGTCTCTGATATGCCAGCATATGAAGCAGACATGCCCCTATAAAATCCTCTAAGTCCATCTGTCTGATACACTTTACGAATACATTCAAAAGCACCCATTCGCTTTTCTCCACGGTTCCTGAAAAGCAAAAAGGAAAAATCTTGTTTACAAAGTAGTATAGGTTTTTAAATAAAGTTAATAAAATGCAGTAGAAATATGTCACTCTAAATAGAGGATGATCCTCTAACTCATGGAGAAGTGAAGCCAGAATATTAAGACTTTCATTTTAGACTTTATTCTTTTATCCCAAGTTTGTCACATTAGATGGGTACCATGTAAGTTTATTTTACTAATGCAAAATACATTACATTAAATCTTCAGTTTCATGTACTCATTATACTGTAGGGATAAAAAATAAAATAGTCCAAATACATTGTGACTGCAGCTCAAGATAAAACCAGTTCTAAGTTGAGAAGACTTCTTCTGCACTTAGTAACATGAAAGAGTGATTGAGACACCAATGATGATAGTACCTCATAAAGCAGGGAATATAATTAATGCGATACTTGTGCATCTGCAGAATTCTTCCAAACTCACTCAGTTCTTCCCCAAAAATGACTGTGTGAATTTAAGTCAAATTTCCTATAATCCTTTGCAGGCAACAGTCCTATCTTTCATGTCGGTATCATGGTGAACAGTGAATGCGGACCCCTACAGTTATAAAATATTTTTGAGCATCGTGCCCAGTAAAACTTGCTTAGCGCTATACAGGCAGTGTACCTACTCTTATACAAGTATATAATTTTGAGTTTATAAAAATATTACCTTACACTATGATTCTCCCAACAGAACCTTATCTAAAAGAAATGAGTTTAAATGCTACCTACAGGGAAAGAAATATAAAATTTACCTAATTATAAATTATATACAACCTATTTCTGACATAACAAAAATACAATTAAAACCCCTATGATAACCTACAAATTCCTCCAGTTTTATGACCTAATTGTCTTGAACTAATAACTGTCCTCAACTAATGACATTGACTGAAAACTTTCTTCTTTGAATGATCCATGAAACCAACTCTAATCAGTTTCTACCAGAGACTTCCTCACAAGAAGTTAAAATCCTACAAGTCCTAAAGAGTAATATGCAAACACATCAGCCCTATTCTTGATTTCATGGTTATACATTAGCACCCTTAAACCAACCTTTAACTATTACCTCAACTCCATCCCATTCCCTATCACTCCCCAAGCCTAAGAACTTGTGTTTGCTTGTGTTACAACTTTAAGTGAAAAAATAATAGATACAAGAATTAGAGATGTTTCCAGTCTCCAAATAGCATATAGTTCAACATGACAAAATGTGGGAAACAGATATTTAAACAGGTATCATCATTATTATTATTTTTTAAAGATTTCATCCATTTATTTGACAGACAGAGATCACAAGCAGTCAGAGAGGCGGAGAGACAGGAGGAAGCAGACTCCCTGCCAAGCAGAAAGCCTGACATGGGGCTCGATCCTAGGACCCTGGGATCATGACCCAAGCCAAAGGCAGAGGCTTCAACCCACTGAACCACCCAGGTCCCCAATAGGCATCATTATTAATGATTTCTTAGATAAGTTTTATTTAGTCTACGACATACATAGACTACCTCCCAAGCCCTAAAATATGTAACAGTGAAAATTTGTTACAAGTCTAGTCCATACCAAAAGGCTAAAGGTTTCCAAATTATAATTATTATTATTATTATTATAATACAGCAATAGGATCATCTCTCTAAAAAGTATTTCCTCTTCCCCATTCTTCATTCTCCAGGCTAACAGGAATAGAGATGGCTAGACTCTAAGCTGTACATCTTGTGGCCCTTGCCCAGTTCCCAAACACGCCAGGCCCTAACCTTAAGACCTATGAGGTTTGCAATGACCACTGCTTCTGCCTAAAATGGGCTCAAAAACAAAATTCCTTGACTATTCCATTTAAAGTTGGTCCCACTGTTTCTTGGTGTATCTCTAGAACCAAGCAGTGTATCTGCTCAATAGACATTCATCAAATCAATGAACTCTGCTACCATAGAACAGTCATTGATAACAGATGAAGTCTATGAATATATGAGAGCTAAATCCCATGCCACACCTCTCTGTATATAACATTTACCAAATTTGAGCAATGATCCTGCAAGATTTAATCTAGACCAGTTGATCGTGGGTTGTTTACCTGTTGGAAGACCAATTAAAATCATTCATAGTGAAATTATCACTGCTTGGGCTAGGCTAATATATATTCTTTTTATTTAAAAACACAACACATAATATTCTTTCTTCCCTAGAAAGTCTCACATTGCCAACTATTGTTATCACTTGCTTTTGACGGTAAACCCCAAAAAACAAAATCAGCATCAAAAGAGGGGAAAGACATGGCTAGGTACATGGCATTGAAATCTCATAGATATAAATTTATAGGAAAAAATTAGCTGAAATCAACTTTAATTTTAACGAATTAACATACCTTGCATCAAGCTGTAACCGAGTCTTTATAAGCCAAATGGGGTTGGTCGCTGTGATTGCAGTGAAACCTAAACAAACATGTTTAAAATGAACTCTGGTAAAAATGAAGAATATATTATTAACTTTAAGGTTTTAAAAATCATAGAAATCTATATTAAAGAAAATGTTTAAACTATTAATTGATGTATGCTATACACTTTTATTTTATAAACATACGAGTATTTGTAGTTTATTTCCAATCTACATTCTCAAATTCTGACCATAACTAAAAAATTCTTTTAAGAGCAAAACCTGATTATATATAAATTCTTCTCCCAAGTGTAGAAGGGCGCCCTCTACAGTCTAAGCTAAATTTAGAAACCCATTTCTACAGACAAATATATAGAAATTTGGTGTATTTTAGGGCTTTTTAGCATGCAAACTCTACACAGCTACTTAAGGTCCAAATCCCTATGTTCCAAGTGGTTTCTACCTAAAGGTCAGCATTTACTTTTGATCTTAGGTTGGCTATATAACAGCAAGGACTGTTGTTTGCCTTTATGAATGCTTTAATTGAACATATTCTTACTAATACTGTTAAAATAATGGTATCACAGAAGCTTTCTCTTAGGGTTAATAGGACAGATCTATTTCTCATCCATTTAACCATATAAAAAACTGAAAAGTTCAAGAAGTTACATACTGGAACTTTCCTCTCACTTTTATAGACACTGAAGAGGGAAACTAGAGTAGAATGTAGTTCTGGTTTACTTTAAAACTTAAGTACTGTGTACTATCAGTGCAGAAGGGTGGTCTCCTAAGATGGCTCATTCCAGTTGGTAAATTAAGATCTCTGGAACAGTTGTTTCTAGACTAGTGCGTATCTTTTACTTTCTATCTTCCTACTGTTATGGAAAATAGCACACGAAATACAATCTTGGTAACGGGAATTTATGAAAACTGCTTCATCTATACAAAATGGGGTTTTAATGTATTGCTTGTGAACTTTGAGGATCACTACACAAACTTCACAGAACTACTTACATCAACTGTATTTATTCAACTGGCCTTTAAGTTCAGTGAAAACTTACATGCAGAATGTCTAAGGATCTGAAATTAACTATTTTAACACTTTCTATCAAATAATAGGCAGGTGAAACATATTATTTTTAGAAAGGTGGAATATAACCAGCACATTGAATATGAGTAAAGTTATTTCAGGAAGAGAAATGATGTGGTGCACTTAAAAATAATTTGTTTTTTGAAATTAACATATAGTGTAGAACCAATCATAAAACTTTTCTTGGCTTTCAAAGTCACTACGGGTATACCTAAAATGCAAAATCATTTTACTAAATTGTTTACAAAGCAGAATTTGGTCTCACAGGTTCTTTGCACCTCTATGATATCAGATAATTAGCTAACTCAAATTTTATTTCCTTAAGCCACTGATTTAACACCACAGAAATAGCCAGATATCTCACAAAGGGATGCTTAAATTGTATCTATTTTTGAAACGATAAATGGAATAAAAATTTGGTTTGATGACTCCTTTCACTATTTTGTAATAGTTCTATAGTCTCCGTTTCTTTCAAGTGTTTTTAATACTACATACATATGTATAAAACTAGTACTAGACCAAAAATTTTGTATGTGCCAGTATTAAAATAATAAAATTTGAAGTGCTGGACATTTTATCAGGAACATTTTTAAATAAGTTTCTTTTCATATATAAAAATCTTGGTAAAAGGAAAGGAGAAGAAAAATATGAAATTATTAGATCCGTTTAAATATTTTACTTGGAAAAGATTTTTTCTTGCATGTCCTGGTTTAAATGAGAATAAAGCTAAAGAATTTTTTTCCTTTCCGTCACCTTCATTTTCTTAACGGAAAAACTCAAACTAAATACACTCAAATTATATTTTAAAGAAAATGTGCACCAAACATTAGTATTCTGGCTATACCTCTAACTTGATGACTGTTTTCAGACTTAAATATCTGTATTAGTTAAATATCCGTAAAGCAGTATTAGGGGGTCTATTAGTGAAAGGCTGCAAAGCAGCACAAGGCAACAAAATATTCTACATTATTCACAATCGTTTTTATTAATTAGCCTGTGGAAATTAGGAAAACAAATTTTTCATCAAAATTTGAAAGCCTAAAACTGGGAATCCTTACACCAAGCTTTAAAAACAAAACAAAACAAACCCAAAAAGCCCTATCTAGGTAAAAAATCTCAATCTACTATACTTGATTCGAAAAGATGAACATTAAAGTTTTTCTTTTTAAATAGAAGTTCTATTTCTAAAAATATAAACTTAGTTAATACCCAAGCTTAATACTCTTCCAAGTCACAAAATTCCTCAATTAAAGTCTAAAAAACTCCATATATGTACACTTTAAAATACTATAATAATATTTATAAATATTACTAGAAATGAATTTTTCAAATATCCATGAATAAAACTTTTAATTATCCTCTGTACATATGAATGAACAGTGACAGGACACAAACAGGTATTTCTCACTTAACTAAAATTCCTTTCCAAATACAAATTAATCTATGGGACAGGAAACATTAAAATTCAACCAAGTGTTGTCATCTTATCCCTCTGTAACTGTTACTACCAGTAACTTGTGCTTACTACAGTTGTTCTGGCTCAACTCTCCCAATAATAGCTAGCTTTTAATAAAGACACTAGGTTAAATGCCAGCAAACCACTACATTAGAGAGAATCTAGGGATAACCTACATTTTAGTGATTGGTCTTTACCACAGTTAAAACTCTGGTCCTAGAATTTTATGCTATTACATTCTCTCAACCACAGACACTCTACCTAATAAACTAACTGGACATTATTAAGCTAATTAATCCTATAAAAATGCAGTCTGTTAATTCAAGAAATGAAACAAGTGGGAAGAAGCAAAAATTTATCACTAACTTAATTATATATGGCTAGGCAATCTGAAGTTGGCCAAGAGCCAAAGCTAAAAAGATCTTCCTACTTCTAAGATAAACATATACAAAGATACTTGGAATAGTTTCCCTGAAGTTTAGAAATTTACTATTACTTTTTATTTTTGCATTTAAAGTTTGTGGTATTTTGATAATGCTAGTTCCTATTAATATTCTGAGCACTCTGTTAAACATTAAAGCTGAATTAGAGGCATATGAAGCAGCTATTTGTAGGTTAAGAATTAACATTGCTCTAGTGAGTAAAAGCAAAGTGGCAGTGTATTGGCCATATAGTAGTGCGGCTAGAGTTTTGTTAGAAAATTTTTTTAAAACTTTCAAAATGCAACTTTTAAAGTTTTGCTTCATCTAAGACTCCATCCGATAATGTACACCAGTTTAAAAGAAATCCTGCTTATAGGAAACTTGCTGAAAATTTCTATTTCATTAAGTGAGTGATACCTGTATTTGCATTTTTCAGTATTTTTTACTTCATCAAGTTCTGTAAGCAGAACAAAGCCCACCTAACCTTCTAAGAGAAATACATTAAAACTACAAAACAAAAACAAAAACAAAAACAAAACAAAAACCCAATTAAAACTAGAACAGCTTAGATCCCATATATTCTTACCCTGCATTTATTGTAAGGTAATGGTAGGTATTAAGATCAATGTTTTTGCAAGAAAAGTAGAAAGCTAAATATAAACAGACAACAGAATGGAAAGCACTGTATTAGACTTTTAAAATATGTTATGCTAAGCAAAGAGAACTACTATCTTCCCTAAAAGTTGTAGGATGGTATGATACCATTTACAACTACGTATATCTTAAATACTGTCATCAAATTTTTTCGAGGTCAAGGCTATTATGGCCAAGCTGAAGACCCCAGGCTTTTATTACACAATGACTGAAAAGTTACCCCATTCTTCCTTCTAGAAGGAATATTCTAAAGGGATCAGAATTAAAAAATTTTATGAAATACTCAGCACACACACATATATTCAGGAAATAAAAGTTCATTTCCCGCCTTCTATTAATTCCACAGCTATTATAAATTCCCAGGGTGTGTTTCTTATAACTAGAGGCTGCAAGAGACGCTCAGATCAGTACTCACGAGGTTTAAGTTAGTCCATATTTCTACAGGAAGTGACCTGCGGATGGGGAGCATGAGATGACACGATCTCACTCTTTTCTCGGGAGAAATGTACAGTAAATGCCTAAAATAGACACAGGCTTTTCTGTATCATAACAACAAGCAGTGACCTCATCAGAAACATGTGTACAAAATGAATCCCATTGGAAGGATTTCAGAAATATTTACGGTGAGATCTAACTTTTTTGAAAATTTTAAGCTAAAAAACAAAAAGGAAGATCAGAATGGGCCATAATTTAAAAAAAAATGCATCGAGTACTGAAAATTCTGCCATCTGCAGCAGTTTCAGAGTCCAAATACTTACCTAAAACACGAATTTTGCCCTAACGAAAAAATGCTAACCTTGTCAATGGCGAGTCTAAGAAAATATTTAGAAGGGATCATATCTCATTTTCCTAATCATTATCTATCAAGATCAGAGGTGAAATCACAATTTTCTATACTTTAACAGCTTCTTAGTAAATCTTTTTTTCCTTAAATCTTTAAAAAAAAACCCAGAATATTCTGAGTAACATTTTGTAATTATCTGTAATTTTTAATAATTAAAGTATATGTTGGTACAATTATACCTTTCACACCTTTTGCACTATGACCAATAATATTGCACATCCATTTTATGGAATATTTTGGATTATTTTGTATTTTATTTCTTGTGTTCTACAAAATAAAAAACAGGAAGAATGTTTATATACAAACACACAAAACATCTGTCCACCCACCCATTTGGGTGAATAAACTGCCATGGAAAATAAAATATTAAAAAATATATTTTATATAGGCAAGAAAAAATTTCTCTTTAATGGGTAAAAACTTAACCTTTAAAGTTTAATATTTATAATAAACTTAAAGTCAAACAGAAAAATGTATTTTGAAAAATAACAGTGAATGCTATAAGCAAGTAAAACCCTCTAGGTATTTAGTAAAAGTTAAATGATTATATTATTGGTATTTTAAAAATTAAGCAATAACTGTTTGAATATATAATCCAATAAAAATCAAAATTATTTTCATTTAAATCTATGTTGCATATAAAAGTCTGTATGTTTTTTCCAGATAAAAATTTCTGAAAACTGGGAATTACTATAAAGAAACCATACTATTTTTTGTATGTACATTTGTGTCTACTAATAGAGTAGGATATACAAATTCATTTAAACAAAAACATACAAGTAATCTCGACAAAACAAATACTCTCAGTTTAACAAAGGTTACATGTAGGGAAGAAAAAAAAGCAGGTAAAACAGAGTCAACATTACTTAATTTTATTCAATAGCCTTCTAACTGGAAATAATTTTTCAATTATACCTCTAAATTTAGGTTTATAATTCTTAAAGTATTCTCTTGAAACACTACAACAAACCAAAGTAAGATCCACTTTAAATAAACTGTTTATTTTTATTAACAAAAGGTTTATTACCTAAACACTTGGGTTCATATGGATAAAATGCAAAATCAATGGGCTACCTGGAAAAAAATTATGTACAAGGTCTGTTACTAAAATCCTTAATGTGTATGCTGTTTGATGTGGCAAAATCTTACAGGCAATATAATTAAAGTCTATTTTAGTGCACTTTTTGATACCACAGGGACAAGGTTAGCATTTTTTTTTTAATAGCCAGTTAAAAAATGATTTTTCACATGACTGCCTCTAAGCACTTTGCACCCCCAATTCATATTTAAAAGACTTCTAAAAATGATCCTGAAGAAAACCCAGACCAATCTGGTCTAGATAATTTCAAGAATGAAGGGGGCAAAAGACTACCTTAGTGACTTTGCATGGGATCTTTCAGTTTCACCAACAATGTAGTTATGTATAAAAACTACAGAGCTAAGTGTTAATGCTCATGAAGAGTGCAAGGAAGCTCTGAAAGCACAATTCTCAGAAAAATGTAACTGCAAACACATGAAAGAGGTATTTTCAAATTACACAATAAGTATATAGTGCAATAATCTGAGCAAGGTTAAGACCATCAATTTACAAAAATTCAAGGAATTCAAGTTGGAAAATAGTTATCAATATAAAAACAAACTATGAGTTGACATTTGTACACACTTGAGAGAAAAGTGCAAAATGACAATTCCACCGAAATTCTTTACCACATGATACAAAAATAGTAATAAACTCTGATAAGATACTCTAATGAAAAAAGATGTTCTACTGGGAATTAAGATAGTCTGAAACCCTAAATTCGCATTACTGAATATATAATAACTATCCTCTACCAAAAATGATCTGCTTATCTACTTTCTGGACATCAAGTCTGACAAAATGAACAAAAAATTTAACATTTCTTTAATAATTTTCTGGGGTTAAAAAACTGGTAGTCCAGAAATACATTCTTAAAGATCCTAATACAGCAGTTATATAGTTTGAAATTAGCCACTAATTTTTACCTTATACCCTCTCAAATTTGAAGAGGAAAAATCGTATCTGTATTCAACAGCTATAAAAAGTAAATTTAAAAAAATTCTAGTTAAAAACTAGATGATCTCTATGGTACTAAAGAACTAATTCTCAAAATCCAAATCTTTGTACAGCAACCTACATTCCAAACATAAGGTAAAAGGAAATTTGCATGAATTACATTAACTTGCCCAAGATCTCTCCTCATGGATAAATAAGACTATTTCACCACCTTGACCTCTAAAGTTTTTACCTTTCAGCTTTAAAACTTGGGTGAGTCAGTCAATTACCAAATATGAAAAGCCTTGAAAATAATTTGTGAGGTATATAGTAGATATATGGCTATTGACCCTTTCAGAAATTAGTTATTCCAACTTACACTTAGTTCGTTAAAGTATGTAGTTCAAATTGATCCAATTTATTTCTAAACAGAAAATGGTTAACAGTTTAAGGCACTCATTATTAAACACGTAACTGACACTCAATTTATGGCTCAACAGCTGATGAAAGTAGTAAAAATCTGCTTTATAGTCATAGCATAATTTGGCAAGTGACATATGGTTAAATATACAATGAATCTCAGAAAACTGCAAATAATGAACCAAAGGTCATGGCTTTGTCTAACACGCATTGCAACAAATGATTCCAGAACCAGACTGGTCAAATCAATCTCCTAGTTTATCTTTAAGGCAGTACAGAGGCCCAAAACTAGTTGCGTTAATTCAGAATCATATATACTCAACAATGATAGAAGAGTCCCTGGAAAACATTTCTATAGCAAGCATGTACACATAGCCAGTGCCTAAATTTAAGTATTATCTAGTGTTATTTATATGGAATGCTAAACATATTTTTCAAAATACATACATTACAGTATCTCTCAGTTATCAGTAATACATCACAAAAATTTCAGCATTTGAGCACAGGACAAAATGAATACTTTACCAAGAACTGCCGGCACATTTCAGACAGAAGCCAAAACATGCAGCAAAAAGGGAAAAGGCACTAACAGAAATTGAGGAGAGAAGAGTAAATTACAGCTGCATAACTTATTTATAGTGTAATTATGGTTGGATTCTTTAAACTGTCAAAGTGATCACTAACTATTCAGTGGACACTAACTATTCAATGTAAATATTATACTACCTGTATGCTATCACAAACCCCTGATTACAAAAATGCCAACTTAAAACAGATTTTAAGTATACCTTCTGATCAAATTTACTGTAATACTAATAAATATTAAGAATCATATATGTAGATGCTAATCAATGAAAAGCACAATGTCTTAACTACATAATGTAAAATCATAATTCAACATTAAATCTCTAGGTTTTGGAAAAATGTTTGCTTTTTAATATTTTATATTCATACCTGCCATTGCAGCTGAAATCATGTGTACCTGGGTAGAATCCGGATCAAATACACCGTTCAGCTTTTCCTTGCAGTTTGAGTAAGCAGCAAAGTATATTGCTCTAAAAAAAAGATTTAAATTTTATCAATAAGCATGTTATATAATTCGTAAGATTTAAATGACAAGTAAATTCATCTTTCTAATTTTAGAAAAATCTAAAAACAAAGTCTTAGCCACATTCTCATGTATCAGGATAATTTACATATTTTTCCCATGTAGATTCTGAAGTACAGTTTGCACTGACTCATTAAAAGACAAACCTCAATGTAAAGTTCCTCAAATGTAAAGCACCCTCCAACAAAAAGACACCTACGACCCTGACCCAACACTTTTACATCAACTGACTGACTGAATGAAATAAAAACTATTTGTATAAGAGATGTTTAAAAACATGAATAAGGCTGGATGGCTTAAGTAATGGTAAAGTTAAATTAAACACACTTGAGTAAATATGGTATAAACACTTTAAAAATTGCTAAATATATAATTATTATGATTAGTTGGTATTAATATAAAGATATTACTATTAATATATAATATTTTTTAAGTGGGGAGAGGGTCATAGAACTGGCCCAATTCATCAAAGTATGTCAAACAATTCTGAGATACCATGGTATATTCTAATCTATATTATACAGAGTAGTTCACAGTATCCTTAAACAGACAAAATAATTCCAGAAGAAATGAGCCCCATCAGGTCATGTCTTCTATGTTTATAAACATTCCATTACATCTGTAAATACTTCCCCTCTTAACTTATTGACTATGATTTCATGCATCCCCACCACCTCTTCATTGTTTAGCTTTCCAGGCTTTGAATTATTTGCTTGCAGTATCAAATCCTTTTATTTCCCAACATAACAGGCAAAAGCACAAATGAGAACAGTCTCACTGTTGTGCCTTTTTTAATGTGCTGAAGAAAAATGGAAAGTTAATATAATTTAAAATGAAACATACTACATTATCAGCAAGAAAAACAAATAGAATACATTTAATGATGAATTGTGAAGAAGTATAAATAGCACATTCCTAGAAATAAGTAAGAAAGACCTTTTAATGAGAAGATAGGCAACGAATATATAAGGTAATTCACAGTAGAGATACACAAACGGAAAATCATTAGAAGGTGTGACTGCACCCAAAATTAAACAAATGTGCATTAAAACTGAAAACAGGGGCACCTGGGTGGCTCAGCTGGTTAAGTGTCTGCCTTCGGCTCAGGTTGCAATCTCGGGGTCTTGGGACAGAGCCCCATGCTGGGCTCCCTGCTTAGTGGGGAGCTGGCTTTTCCCTCTCTCTCTGACCCTCCCTCCCCACCCTGCTTGTGTTCACTCTCTAATAAATAAAATCTTAAAAGAAAAAAAAAAAGTGAAAATCATGTTTAGTCTATTTGACTAGTATTAAAAGACATGAATAGTAACCAACATGAGTAATATGTGATAGAGAGCAACTAATCCACTACTTGAGAATAAAAAAAAATTGCCTTTCAGAAGGCAGTTGAGTAATATTAATTTCAAATGTGTATATGCTCTTTTATACAGAAATTCTATTTACAAGTAACTATTCTAAAGAAATACACTTAAGATAAGAATATAGCTGTGTTCACAAAACTACTGCTTTCAACAGACAAAATGTGGAAATACACCTAAAGGTTTATCAATAAGGGAATGCTTATTAATGATAGAGTCGCCACACTAGGTGATTAAACAAAAACTACGTATTTTGATGGAAAAAGCTTCAAGACAAATTTGGTGAAATTTTTTAATTGAATTAAATGAATGTAAACAATAATTAAGTATACATGATATGCATTTTACATACAAAATAAGCCAGAAAAATTAAAAGAAGACTATACACGTCAAACTTTTATTAATAACATTTATCTGTGCAGAGACAAGTAAGTGCCTATGAGAAGGCATATAGCATGAGGGGTGATGTGTTTAAGATGGAATGTCAGCCTTTATGCTACACATTTTTAATTTTTACGGTAAGGATAAATTTTTTTAAGATTTATTTATTTGAGAGAGAGCGTGCGCATGTGCGGTTGAGTGCACAAGCACGCAAATGGGGGATGAGGAGCAGGGCGGGAGGGAGGACAGAGGTAAAGAATCTCGAGTAGACTACACACTGAGCATGGAGCCCCAAGCCAGGCTCCAACTCACGACTCTGATATCACAACCCGAGGTGAAACCAAGAGTCTGACGTTTAACCAACTGAGCCACTCAGGTGTCCCAAAATAAAATTTTTTTTGAAAGATTTATTTGACAGCAGGAGCAGGAACACAAGCAGGGAGAGTAGGAGAGGGAGAAGCAGGCTCTCTGCCAAGGGAGCCAGATGAGGGGCTCGATCCCAGGACCCGGAGATCATGACCTGAGCTGAAGGCAGACGCTTAAAGACTGAGCCACCCAGGTGCCATCTCCCCCAACAGATAATTTTTCAAGAGAGAAAAAAGCCCACAAAAACTTGAAAACCAATAAATAATAAGACATGTATCCAGTACATGGGATACAGAGAGCCATTTTCATTCTGAATGGGAACTCTATAGTATTTTATTAAAGAAGCAGTAAATCTAAGATAAAAAGGTATCAGAGAAAAATGACTATGTATTAATAGGGCCTTTTTGGCTCTTTTAATAGGTAATGAAATTATTCTAGCTTGTCCTCTAAGCCAAAAAACAGGGTTAGTTCTAGAGCTCTAAGTATTCCTCTTTCACACTGTTGGTTCCCTTAGTATTCTCTGCCTTTTGAACTTGGTTCAAAAACTGCACCACAGTGATTTCACGAAGAGGTCCTTTGCGCTGCCACACAGGGAAAATGGCCCAAGCTTTTACATGGTTACCAGATACCTGTTTTTATACCATGATGCTTTATCCTTACCACCTTGACTTCTCTTCAGCATCTTCCATCATTAAACTTGAAACAATAAAGATTGCCACCATTTTGTTTAACTTAAAAAAATTATTTTTACCTGGAAGGAGCCACCCCCACTAAATTGGGACCTAATCCTCTGAACAAGGAACGAGGCCCTTCTTTTTCCAAGATCACTCTGAAAGAAAAAAACATTATTTAGAAAGGAATGTCCTTCAAAGTCTAGTACTTTATTTGTATAGCAAACTTAAGACTTTTAAACCTGTCAGCCTCTGCTATAAGGCTGTGCTGCTCTGCCCAGTTTTCTTACTTATGAAAATCCATTTTTCTTAACACAGCATAAAATGATAATCTTAAATGATAATAAAAAGAATTCTAATCAGATTCTTTTCTATAAGTTTTAAAGACTACTGTATAATTTCTACATTTTCATACAATCATGTTCTTGTATGAACATGATTATCTTCAATATCCTCCATTTTATAATCTTTACCAGCAAATTCAGTTTCCGATAAAAAATGCAGTTTTCTGTCTAGTATTTGAGGTCCTTTCTTGATAATCAGACAACTCTCTCAGTAATGCAGCATTACCTCATTCAATCATTCCAATGAAATGGCGTCGAAATCTGGCAACCTAACCTCCTTTAGGGTACAAAATAGTTAGCCAGTTACCATATCCCCCTTTATTTAGTTAACATTTACTATACTGAATACTTACTGCATAAAAACTAAGCAGAGTAAAAAAGACAGAAAAGAAGGTGAGACACCTGCTAATGAGAAATTTGATGTACACTGCGGAAAAAAGAATTACACTGAAACAAATAATTCAACAGACTATATTAATAAGCAAATACTATACAAGCTAGATACATATGCCCAGCAGAGAAAGGAAGAGGTATGTCTAAGCCCTGGAAGGCTTTCTGAGAATGAGTTATTAATTAAGCTTGGAAGTGAGAAGAACCAGAAACTGGAGAAATTATTTTAACCTACAGTTAACAGACAGGCTAGGGCAGTGGTTCTTAACCACCTATGTGCTTAAGATGATTTCTTTAAAGACTGTTGAGCATAATGGTTAAATAAGGACCTGAGATATGGGGCCAGACTTCTTAATAAGGAGACCAATTTTTGTAAATCACTCGCTGTAAGAACATAAGTAGTAACTTCTCTCTTATCCTTATTTTCATCAGCAGTAAACAGAGAAAAACAGTACTCTTTTTTTGAGTTGCTGTGAGGGATAAATAAACAAACATATGAAGAACTTAAAAGAGATCTGGCTTCTAATAAGTACCTAATAAACCTTAATATTATGAGCATTTGTTTAAAATGCTTATTTCTCTGATCTTACCCTCCAAGTATTCTGACTCAATAGGTACAGGACACTGCTCAGTAATTTGCATTTTTACCATGTTTCCAGATGACTGACAAAGTGATATAGAACCACATCTGATAAAACTAGATTAGACAGAAGCAGAGTTCAAAATAACAAATAATGGAGAACATTTTGAAGATTCAGTGTTTGTTAGCCTTTTCTGTTATCCTAAGTCTTGCTGAAAAATTAAGAAAGGTAAATATTCTTTAAAAAAAAAAACAAACATATTTATTGGGGTGCCTGGATGGCTCAGCTGGTTAGGTGTCTGATTCTTGGGTTTCAGCTCAGGTCATGGTCTCAGGATCATGGGACTGGGTCACATTGGGCTCTGTGCTCCGCAGGAAATTTGCTTCAGATTCTCTCCCTCTCCCCTTCCCACATACACTCGTGCACTCTCTCTCAAATAAATAAGTAAATAAATAAGATCTTTAAAAAAAATATATACATTTGCAAACACAATTCTGCATACAATTTCATGTAATTTATAGACCTCCTGAAGTTCACCCATGACCCACCTAGGAAACCAAGAGCCCAGTGGGGGGCAGCGGGGAGGGATTTCTAAAGTTCATGGGTAAGCCATGAAATGCTTCACTCACTAGAATGGTTATAATAAAAAAGTCAGACATAGTAAAACAAGGGTTGGTGGGGGTGCCTGGGTGGCTTTAGCCCTGAGTTGATGGAGCCTACTTAAAAAACAAAAACAAAAAACTGGGGTTGGTAAGGCAGTGCAGAAACTGAAAATTTCATTCAATGGTGGTAGGAATGTAAAATGATGCAGCCACTTTGGAAAACAGTGTTATAGTTCCTCAAAATGTTACAAGTTATTGTATGACCTAGCAACTCTGCTCCTAGCATATCCCCTCCAAAACGAAAACATACATCTCTATAATAGCATCACTCAGAATACTGCAAAGTGGAAACAAACCAATGTCTATCAACTGATGAGTGGATAAACAAAATTTGTTATATATCCATATAAAGCAATACTTGACAATAAAAAGATACTGTTATAACATGGATCAACCTTGAAAACATGCTAAGTGAAAAAAACCAATCACAAAAGACTGTGTGTTATACAATTCCATTTATACAGAATGTCCATAATAAGCAAATGTATAGTGATAGAAAGCAGATTATAGTTGCCTAGAGCTAGGGGATGGAAGGAGAGAGAAGGGAGAAAATGAGAAATGACTGTTAACAGATAAAGGTTTATTTAGTGATGATGATGGAAACGTTTGAAATTTGGCAGGTGATAATGGTCGCACAATTCTCTGGATATACTAAAAACAAACAAATTGTATACTTTACATGGGTTAATTTTATGGTAGTAACTTGTACCTCAAATAAAGATGTTAGGGGGGGGAAAAAAAGCCATGAAACAGATTGCTTTGGACAGAGGCCCTGAGTAGGGAATCAAAGGGAATGAGTAAAAAGGTATTAAGGCAGAGAATGCAAACTTAGAAGTCACCTATATACTAATGACAGGTGACACATGTTAAACTGACTCTTAACAGAGGTCCAGAAAAACTGAGAAATTAAAACAAAGCTCAGAGGGATTCCTACTACTGCTGAGAAAAGTCAGAAGGCAAAACCACTGAAAAATAGAAAAAAATAAAAAATATACTACTACTGTGGGGAGCCTGGGTGTCTCAGGTGGTTAGGCATCTGACTTGATTTCAGCTCAGGTCATGATCTCAGGGTCCTGAGATCTGAGCCTCACAGTGGCTGTGCACTCATCTCAGAGCCTGCTTGTTCCTCTTCCTCCGCATCTGCCCCTCCCTCTGCTTGCATACACTCTTGCTGGCTCTTAAATAAATAAATATATACGGTACTGTCGCAAAGATCAAAGAAAGAAGTTCAGGACACGTAACAGCGGTAATAAAAGACAAAATCATGATACTGAGATGACCTATTATTAATTGGTAAAGTATTCTATTTTTGCCAAGATATTATTAATCTGATAATACTCGTATCAGATACTCATCTATAATTACGGCATTTTATTTATTTATTTATTTAAGAAGGGGAGAGGGGCAAAGGGAGAGAGACTCTTAAGTAGTCTCCACATCCAGCACGGAGCCCATCAAAGGGCTACATCTCACAACGCTGAGATCATGACCTGAGCCGAAATCAAGAGTCAGATGCTTAACCGACAGAGGAACCCAGGTGCCCCTGTAATTATGGCATTTTATTTATTTATTTTTAAAGATTTTATTTATTTGAGATACAGAGAGTGAGTGAGAGAGAGTGTGTACAACCTGGAGGAGGCACATAGGGAGAGGGAGAAGCAGGCTCCCTGCTCAGCAGGGAGGCCAACCTGGGACTCAATCCCAGGACCCGGGGATCATGATCTGAGCCGAAGGCAGACGTTCAACTGACTGAGCCACTCAGGCACCCTATAATTACAGCATTTTCATCCAAAATTGTTAACAATTTTATTCTACCTACCATGTACTAGGAAAACTGAAAAAAGAAAAGACTGATGAACTCTTGGTAACTAAGGTAAACATTCAGTATTGAGTTTATTTGCTGCCACAAAATAAATACTACTGAACTAAGTTCAAATAGATTATGTACCAAGTGACCTGATAAGGCAGATACAAGTTACATACCTAAGTTTGAACACATAAAATGTAATCTCAATAGTTTTGAAATTTTAAATCCAATGTGCAATATAATGAAGTATGATAAAATGTAAAAACAAAATCTTTTTCAAACCACCAAGAAATGTCAAACAAACACTGAATCACCTCTTAAAATCAGTAGAACACTGCTTTAAATTTCAGTTATGTTTAGGTTACATAAAAATCACAGATTGCCATTAAGTGGTTGTACTAACTGTGTCAATACGTGGAAAATTAAAAAACACACAGAAAGAGTTGGGATTTAATACTATCACATTTCAAAGACAAATAAATGATCCAAATAGGACACCTAGAATACCTTCAGAAAACAAATCCACTGACTAAATATAGAAAAATAATTCAAATACACATGATTTGGAAATAACATTACATTTTATATCATCCAATTAACTGTTCCTCTCCATTAGGGATTATCATTTCTGATGAATATAATTCAGAGTAACTCTGTTAATAAGTTTGTAAAAAAGCTTCTTAAAATGTGGCAGAATATAAACAAACAAAACACATGGCTATCATTAAGGTAAACAGACTAAAAAAAACAAATTCACGAAAATTGTGCCTCACTTTAGGCAGTGGAGAGGTCCAGGAGACACTACACGGTTGACACTGGCTCCAGCCATGGTGTTCAACTGAACTTCAGAGATATAAAGCGTCACAGAAGATGACTGCAGCCGTGTTTTTACAACTTCCAATGGACATGTCAGAATAGCTCCCACTGTACCACCACATCTACGAAAAAAATGAAAGGAACAAAACTACTTACTCCATAAATTATTACACACATTTAGACTGTATAACAAGTGGGAAACTAGGGCTTCACTAAGGTACTAAAATGTTAAGATTTTTTATTTTAAAAGACTAAACAATTTTAATGTTTATTTGACTGCATACACCTTTAGTAGCTAAAAAGAACTGAGCTTAATAATTTACTGGGAAGTCACATCATAGTTTTAAATAGTATCCTAAGGGTTTATTTGGTGCTCCTTGCCAGATATCATTTGTGGTTGTTGACACCTAGGTCACTATCTGAAGTATATCCTATCCCTCAAACTCCTCTATCTTTCAAAACTCAAGCTATGGTCTTCAGAGCAATAAAAATTAACCACTGATGGATAATCATGTTTCCTATTTTAAATATTCAAATACCCAGAAGTGTTCTGCCTACAAAAAATGATATTTATAACTCAAAATCAGTGGATTAGGCCCACATGTAGAAATCTGTACAAAGCAGATAGGCTTAGTTAGAGGAATCCAATTTAAATACAAAAACTGATCATCAAAGCAAAAGCTCTAAACAAATGACATCATTTAAACTTTTTCAAGGAATCTGTAAGAGACAGGCTGAGTAATTATTTTTTTTTAAGATTTTATTTATTTATTTGACAGAGATCACAAGTAGGCAGAGAAGCAGGCAGAGAGAGAGGAAGGGAAGCAGGCTCCCTGCCGAGCAGAGAGCCCGATGTGGGGCTCAATCCCAGGACCCTGGGGATCATGACCTGAACTGAAGGCAGAGGCTTCAACCCACTGAGCCACCCAGGCGCCCCAGTAATTATTCTTTTTAAATGCAAGAATGGGAAATAATATTCTCTTAAAGCACTAATAACAACCCAGTGAAACCTCGTGAAACCTTGAGAACTGCTTTCTAACCAGAGGAAAATCAGGAGACACCTTACCAAAGAGTCAAAGTGAAAAATAGACTAAATCAGAAGTAACCTGAACCTCTAAATGGGCATGAAAGGAAGAAAAAGAAAAGTAGCCCACCACAGAAATACACTAAACAATTCTACCTCTATAATTAAAAAAAAAAAAAAAAAAGTGTACGTGCGTATCACATAGTAAAAAAAAGCAGCATGGCAATGCTATTACGCCCAATAAAATTTAGAACAAATTATTTATAAATATACAAAATTTAGAACTTATATATAAAATATATAAGTATTTCATACTGATGTAACAGTACAAGCCATCAAGAAAATGAAACTGAAACAAATTTTATGCAAAAAAGTGAAAAATACAACGTAAAAACAGAGAACATTCATATGCATATGGATGCAAATAAACCCTGAAAGATTTTTTTCAAAATCATTTATCAGGGAAATGCAAACAACCACAATGAGCAGTACCGATACATCTATTAATGGTGAAAACTAAAAAGAATGAGAAAGCCAAGTGCTGATAAAGGCCAATTGGAAATCTCATACATTGCTGATGGGAATGCAAAGTGGTAGTCATTTTAGAAAATGGCTTTAAAAAAGGCAAACCAAAAAACCCAGAAAAGACAGCCTGTTGATTTCTTATAAAGTCCCACTCTTAGGTGCTGACTCAGGAGAAATCCAGATAGATGTCTTCACAAAGTCCTGTCCATGAACTCATAGCAGCTGTATTCTTAAAAGCCCAACTGGTAACCTAAATGTCTACCAACTGATGAAGGATAAACAAGTTATGGTATATCAATATAATAGATTGTTACATTCTGTAAAAAAAAAAGTAACAAAAAAAAAAAAAGTAACAATCTGGATGAATCTCAAAGGCATTATGCTAACTGAAAAAGTAAGGGACAAAAGCCTTTTATTTTAGGACATTTTCATTTTAAAGACTTTTGGAAAAAGCAAAACTAGAACAGAAATGAGATCAGTGATTACCTAGAGGTAGTGGAGTGCATAGGAACTGACTGCAAAGGGCATGGAGGAATTCTTGGGATAAAAGAAACGTCCTGTATCTTGATTGATTATAATAGTAGTTACAGGACCTTACACATTACCAAAACTTACTGAACTACACACTTAAATTTTATTTGGTGAATGTTATCATATGCCTTGATAAAACTGATGAAAAAACTGAGTATGTGAAAACTAGTTAAGTATATGCACTACCTGGAATTGAATACATTGTGTTAAAATTTTAATCATAATAAACTTAGTGTTTCCTAAAAACTCCACTTAGTTTTAAGGAAATTTTAAAAAATTAAAAAATTAAAAATTAAAAAAAAAAATTAAATCCCAAAAGGAAAGATCAAAACCATAATTCTATTGTCAGAAATCAACACACTAATTAGATAAACAGTAGGCCTATAAGAGATTTGAAACAAAATTAACTAGATTAAGGGAGACCCCATACTCAATAAATAAGGAACAGGTATAATTTTTAAACAGCTATGAAATAGGCTTAAAACCTCATTACAGTGGACTCCCAGACAACATGGGGGTTAGGGGAACCAACCTTCTCCGCACCCCATGTAGTTAAAAATCCACATATAACTTTTGACTCCCCCAAAACTTATCTTCTAATAGCCTACTACTGACTGAAGCCTTAGCAAGAAAATAAACATGTAACATATATTTTGCATATGTATTATATATTTTATTCTTACTACATAAAGCTGAAGAAAATGTTAAGAAAATCATGTTAGGAAACTACCTTTACAGTACTATATTTATTGAAAAAAAATTCTGCATAAGTGGACCGTATCAGTTCAAATCCATGTTGTTCAAGAGTCCACTTTATATAAAAGACCACAATCTACTGGGGGAAAACAGCCTTGTTGTAAAGATGATGTATGATATTACCCATGTAAAGTATTTCATGACATGGCACACATTAATATTAGCTACTGAAGTTATCAACATCTATTACAGACAGCAGTAACAGAAATTCCATCATAACTTTTACAAATACTTTATGGCCAGACCACAGACAAGATACTATGATTCCTTAAGGAACACTTTAAAAGTAATGTTTAAAACTTAAACAATTCTCCCTCTTAAAAACAATTCAACAAGTAATGAGGATCTAAGTTACACAGAGCTGGGGAATGGTTTAAGTGGGTGTACACACAAGCACTTAGGCTGTCCTGAAGCAATTTTATGTTATGAAATTCAATAGGTATGTAAGCATAGGGGTGATACTCCAGTATCTCTCATGCCGTTTTTATCTTCAAGCCATTTAAAATTACTATGCATGCTGCAATCAGAAGAACTGATGCACGGAACAAAACTACTGGAGTCAAACATTTAAAATCTCTCCTTATGAAAACAGGGTTATACATTATTTCCTCTCCACGTTAGAAGTCGCATATTTTAAAGAAATATGCCACAAGGACAGAGGGAGCCATGGGAGAAATGAACAAGACCCAAGATTTCAAGCAATGAAGCATACAGGAAGGGATCTGTAAATGACTTACTAGCAAAGAGGCAAAAAGAACTGCAGAAGGAAATATGAAAGAAAAGCCCTGCAGAATCTCAGAGGCCTGAAGATTAGAGCACGAAGTATTCAAGATGGAGGTGAGGTAAAGAACTGAAAACAGAAGTACTGGCTGATAGGCTACACAGCAAAGGGGCGATATCCAGGTGGGATCTACTCCCACTCCCCACACACTGGACGAAACTATATTCCCAGGCAGAAGCCTAATTCTCTAAAGAACGTGAGAATTTGGGACGCCTGGGTAGCTCCGTGGGTTAAGCCTCTGCCTTCAGCTCAGGTAATGTTCCCAGGGTCCTGGGATCAAGCCGAGCATCGGGCTCTCTGCGGGAGCCTGCTCCACCCCCGCCTCTCTGCCTACTTATGATCTCTCTTTCTTTCTGTCAAATAAATAAATAAAACCTTAAAAAAAAAAAAAAAAAAAAAAAGAACATGAGAATTCAAGAATCTCAGAGGTCAGGCTTCACAGGTACAACCAATAGATTCCAAAAAAATCAAAACAAAAACCAAAACGAACCCCTACACCAAGGTGAGCTACTACAATCTTTTAAAATATTGGGAACAAAGATCTCATCAACTTCTACACAAAGCATAAAAGGTTTTTTAACAAAGGAAATGTCAAAATAGCATCAGAATTCCCAACTGCAGAAGATTATGGATTCTAGAATTCTATACCAAACCTACCTATCAAGCAGAAAAAATAAATACACTGCAGATAAATATTTAAGAAATTTCCTACCTTGTACCTTATCTTAGCTACTAAAGAATGTGTTCTACAAGTTAAGGGATTAATCTAAAAAAGAGGAGGGAATATTCCAAGTTATTATGTTGTACACCTAAAATTAATACAGCATTAAAGGTCAATTACATCTTGATAAAATGGGGGTGGGCGTGTGGATTGAATTTAGGAAAAGAATGCGTAACCTAGGAGAGTGAGAAAGGAATCCCAAGATGACAGTGAAAATGTCAGGCTCAGAAAATAACCAGCCCAGAAAGGATTCACATAGTTCAGAGGGATGAAGATCTTCAGGAAAAAAAGACAGATGAATATATTTGAGGATATGAAACTAAATATTCAAGTACTCACATAATTAAACAAACATTTTGAAATGTGTAGCAATTATTAATTCCAAAGGGAGGAAATGAAGATATTCAAGAAAGAAAAGGTCAACAACTGAGCCCTCCAATCAAAGCCCTCCAATCAACTACCACAGTAAGCTAAGCATTATCTATTGATTTAACTAAAAAATTGTTATGTAACTATATATTGAGAGGACAGAAAGAAAGGAGAAATAGGGATTTGTATAACTAAATCCTCATCTTTTCTTTCTTTTTTTTTTTTTTTAAGATTATTTATTTATCTATTTATTAGAGAGACAGAGAGAGAACACAAGCAGGCAGAGCAGCAGGCAGAGGGAGAGGGAGAAGCAGGCTTTCTGCTTAGCAGGGAACCCAATGTGGGGCTCAATCCCAGGACTCTGGGATCATGACCTGAACAGAAGGCAGCCACTCAACCAACTGAGTGACCCAGG